CCAGGATCTACAGTGTAGCTTCCGGTAGAATGAGCACAGGCTCTGAAAGAGATCAGGATCCAATTCTTGTGCTCATTTTTTCCAGGATTTTTCTTGGGGGAGGGAATGGGTTTGGGGGAGGGGGTGGCAAGAGCCTTACACTCCCTGAGCTTGTTTGCTTGTCTGATTGTTGGCAGGATGCGGTCTGACTACCCATGGCAAGTGTTTCCAACGTTGCCTGGAATAGCCTAATGATACCAACACCATCCACTTCCTTGGAAAGAAAATACATACCTCGGCTCTTCCCATTCCTTCATCAGTATTTTAATAACTTACTTTCCGTAGTGTTTTTTTATTTTTCTAATTTACTTTCAAATCTTTTACATCATCTAATTATTTTTTAATCCTCACTCTAGTAAATGTTTATTGATTTTAGAGAAAGAGGAAGGGAGGCAGAGAAAACGAGAGAGAGAAACATCATTGATTGCCTCCCATACGTGCCCTGACTCAGAATTGAACCCTTAACCTAGGTATGTGCCTTAACTGGGAATCAAACCCTCAACCTTTTGGTGTATGGGACGATACCCCAACCGACTGAGTTACCTGGCTAAAGCCACCATTTCATTATTTATAATATTTATTGGAAGTGGGTTAAGCTGATATAAATTTCCCCTTGAGAGTTCAGGTGACTTGACCCTTATATTCAAATTATGAACCATACAATTTAACTAGTAACTGTATTCCCTACACTAGCACTTAATTTAGCAAATTGTTCTTTTTAAATGTCAGTGAGGGTGTCGGTATGTGTGTGGAATTCTGAACCGTGGTGAATGGCTCAGCTAGTTGGTCAGGGACCTAGAAGGAGTAAGATGGGGAGATTAGAGACAGTGGTTCGGAGGGAGACACTTCAGGAGGAATCTATGCACTGGGCACAAGCTGTGGGCATGAAGATTGTGTTTCCTGTCAGTGCCCACCAGGACATCCACATCCAAAGACTCACTCAGAGCTGGGGAGACAGGAGGACTTAGCTGGGGCCTCACTGGCCGCTGTGTGGTACAACTCCAGGGCTTGCTTGGTTGCTACACCGAGCAGCAGCGTGGGCTCCCTCTCCTCAAGGCTGACCTGGATCAACATTTATCTACCACCACCTGATGGCATCTCTGGGAGGATATCAGCCAATCGCTTGGTAGCAACGTGGTTCCATCAGCCCTCTTCTATGCTGGAGGGGACCATGGCTTGTTACTGACACCTGCCCCACAGGTGGCTGTGCCTCTGCCAGCACCACTGTGCAAAGGCTCACTGAATGCCTCATGTTCCAGCGTGGGCTTCTGGGTAGTGTCACCTCAGAACATGGGATTCGTGAGTGTGAATGAGACCCAAGACCAAATAATGGCACCCACTACTTCTTCCGTATTCCATCCCCTCTGAAAGAGTCCAGCCAAGCAGGAGTTTAGAATGGCCCACTAGACCTGCAGCCCTGTTAGGGTCTTGGGATCAACCTTCAGGGTTAGGACCTCCTCCTCCGCCCAGCGTGGTAATCTGTGCGCTGGACCAACAACCAGGGTATCCTGGTCCTGGAGCGTGCCTTCCCCCCTCCTCGCTCACAGTGAGCCAGGCGCCAGCTCTGGGAGTCCCATTCTGGCCACTTGAGGCTCTACTGGATCCAAAGGCCTGGCTTAGGAGCAATGAACGCGGCACTAGGGGACGAAGTAGGGTTTCAGTTTCTGTGGATTTATTTGTCCTTTTTACAACCTCTCAGGTGGGATACTTTTCTCTAACATGACCGTTTAAGGCTACAAATACCTATAAAGACTGCCATAGGGTGTATTGTCATTGTTTTTCACTTCTGCACACTAAGTGATTTCTACTATGGTTTCTTCTTTGGCACATGAATTATTTAGAAGTTAGTTCATGAATCTCCAAATATAGCATTTTTCTAATTTTCTCTTGGTGAATACTTTCCAATTTAATTGTGGTGCGGTCAGAGAGTGACAGCAGTCCTTTGGTGAAATATGCCCTATAGAATCTTTTTCCATAAAAGTTCTATGTGAGAGTCAAAACAATAGCTGTTGTTCTATTTCTCCCCCAAAGTTAAGCTTGTTGGCTGGAGAGCTTAATCTACATGGTAACATCATGATCTAAATATGACAGAAAGTGAGGTAGAGAATATCCCACAAATGGCAGCATCGTGCATTTCCCCTTGTAATCCTGTCCATTTTTAAAATATGTTTTTTACTGATTTTAGAGAGGAAGGAAGAGGGAGAGAGATAGAGAAAAAAAAAACATTGCTATGAGATCAGTTGATTCCTGCATTCTCCCTACCAGTGATTGAACCCACAACCTGGGCACCTGCCGTGACCGGGAATTGAACTGGCGACCTTTCGGTGCATGGGATGATGCTCAACCTACTAAGCCACACTGGCCAGGGTGTTCTGTCCAATTTTTTTATAAGGTATTTTTATAAGGTATTTTGATGCTGTTTAGTTGGGTGCATACATATTTGTACTGTTCTATGTTCCTGGTGAATTAAATCTTATATCACAATGTGGTGATTCTCTTTATTGCTAGTGATACTTGTTGCCTTAAATACTATTTTGTCTGATAATAGGCTATATTCACTTTCTTTTTGTTAATTTGTCTAAATATATCCTTGTGCATTTCTTTACTTTAAATCTTTTGGAAATCAAATATTTAGACATTTCTTGTCAACAATATCAAAGTTCTATTTTTCTGTAATCCATTCTGAAAACCTTTGTCTTTCTGAAGTGAGAATTTTCAGTCATTTGTATTGTATCTATATTATTACAACTTATATGATAACCAGCGATCTGTTGGATTGTTTTGGCTACCTTATTTTGTGCTTTATATTTGCCTTCTCTTCCATTAGTATTCCTCTCTGTCTTCTTTTGGATTGATTAAATATGTTTTCTAATTCATATTTTTTCTTTGTACAAGTGTGGGATTTATATTTCTAACCTAGTAAGTTTTACCCTAGATATGTTGACATTCATGATTAATTTTTTACAATCTAAAATGAAGTAACAGCCTAGCCGGTTTGCTCAGTGGATAGAGCATTGGCCTGCAGACTGAAGGGTCCTGGGTTCGATTCCAGTCAAGGGCACATGCCCGGGTTGCGGGCTAGATCCCCAGTAGGAGGCGTGCAGAAGGCAGCCAATCAATGATTCTCATCATTGATGTTTCTATCTCTCCCTCTCCCTTCCTCTCTGAAATCAATAAAAGTATATTTAAAAATAAAAATAAAATGAAGTAACAGCTCCATGGTCCCGCAAAACGCACATAGACGTTTGGCTACGTTGACCTTACATCCCTCCCCCATGTGTTGTTCATCTCATCATTTTCAGCCCAGCGGACATCATAAAGTGTCTCACACCATCCTGTTCTTCATGCTTTCCCGCCTCTCTGATCTTCCTTCTGGATCACTTTCCTTCTGTCTGAAGTGCATCCTTTATAATTTACTGAAGCTCTCTTGGGGGAAAACATGGTATTTTGTTAACCTGAAAATGTCTCTATTTTGCCCCATTCTTGAAGCATATTTTCGTTGAGTGTAGTATTCCAAGTTGGCAATCTGAGCAGAAAAGAGTGAACATACAGGCCTGAGACTGCTGTCCTTGGGAAGGCCTGCTTGCAAGGTTGGCCCTCGGTGGCGCCTGGGCCCTTGATTTCGGGAGGGCGCCCACCGTGCCCTGGCTGATGAGTGGCTCACGGCCCCTCCCTGTTTGTACAATGTAGTTTATGCTGGCCATCTGCTTTCCTGCTGGGAGTCTGGAAATTTGGGCATATGCTAGACAAAGGATGCGTGCTACGTGACCAGTCCCAGTGAAGTCTTACCCGTGGAGCCTCTAATGAGCTTCCCTGGTGGACGCCTCTCACGTGTCCCAGTTCACTGACCTGGGAGAGCCTGGTCGTCCCCCCCCCCTGCCCCCCCGCGTGTTCCCCGCACCTCTCGCTTGGTTGATTTTGCGCTGTATCTTTTTACTGTAATAAACCATAGTGGAGAGTCGTCTGATGAATTGCTGGGCCTGGGCGGTCCTGGGGACCCCTGACACAGTCTTTATCTCAGAACACTGGGTATGTTCCATTCGTCATCTTCTGGGGAGAAGTCAGCTGTGGGTCTGGGTGGTACCCTGACATTCTCAGCTCTGGCAGTGACTGGAATAGGGTAGGAAGGCAGATACCACTCTCAGTGATGGAGAGAGGGAATAGACGGAAGAAGAGGTGGTCACATAACCAGGGACTGTCCAGAGTCCAGGTCACCAGAACTCATGCCCCGGGGATGCCGGAAGGATTTCTTAGGCCTGAAATCGAGCAAGAAGCTGTCTCCAGAGGGAAGGGTCAGAGTATTCTTTTAAAGGAAGGTGGGCAGCTGTGTGTCTGCTGGACTCACATTAAAGCTTAATGCAGGTTAAACAAGGGTGGGTGGGTGTGGGGGGGTGGTGGGGGTGGTGGTGGTAGGAGTGTCCGGTTAAATGGGGCCACAGGCTGGGAGTCTTAGAAGCCCAGGGTCAAGCATTCCTGGGAAGCTGCTGATGGGGGATGGGGGATGGGGGATGGGGGCAGGGGAGTTAAGGGCCCGACAATGGGCAGACAGGAAGAGGCTGGAGGTCTGCTCCCCCTTGTATCTCCTGCCTCCCCCCTCCCCAAGCTTACTTTTAGGTGTGGAGAAGGAGCAGGCTTCCTGTTTGGAATGGTTGGGATCTGCAGGTGGGATCAGGCCCTGAGGCAGGGGAGAAAATTGGGTCTTGGCTGAAAGGCACACAGAAGTAACCCTTTCATTATTTTCAAGGTCTCTGGCCCAGTCCCCCCTGGGGTGGGGGTGAGGGGTGAATACCAGAAGTGAACACAAATCCCCTGACCAAGGGAGCTCAGGGCATCTGCAAAAAGCTCCTGCAAACATGTCAGCTGGTGTACTCCTGCTTGGACACTGCAAGATATTTTCACCTAACCCAGACTTGCTCCCAGGGCCCGAATACTAACCCCCATCCCTTCCTGATCCTAACCAGAGGAATGCAGAGGAGTCCTTTTGCCAGATCACTGACCGCACTGCGCACCTGATATCC